GCCTGTGTCAAAATTGCTGTCCATGTTTATGTGTGTTTATTTCTGGACTCCTTATTCTATCCCAGTAGGTATTTTTGATTTATGTAGCTTTACAGTAAATTTTGAAATCCAGTAATACTAGCCCTTAATTTTGGTCTTTTTTCTGAGTTTCAGCTATTCTAGGTTCTTTGCATTTCCATCCAAATATTGGGAACAACCTGACTTTTGCAATGGTTTTTATTGGGGCTATATTAGATCAGTTTGGGTAAGAGTAGGGAATGTATTTCCATTTAGTTCAATCAAAACTTCTGCACAGGTACTGCAATCACAGATGCACATATCCCACATGGTGTCTTAACCACTGTGCCAAACTCCTAACTCTGTGAGAAGGCTTTTAACTACAAATTTAATTTCTTTAATACATGTGGGGATTTTTCAGGTTGTGTATTTCTTCTTGAGTGAGCCTTGGAAACTGTATCTTTGAAGGAATTTTTCCATTTTTGTCTCAGTTTTTATATTTTATAGGCATGGAGTTACTCATATTATTATCCTTTTGGTATTTGTGAAACATGTAGCTATGCCATCCCTCTCATTCCTGACTTAGGTATGAGTATTCTCTCTCTTTTTCCTTATCTGTCTGCAAGAGGGTTATAAATTGTGTTGATCTTTGCAAAAAACTTTTTGTCTCATTGATTTTCTCCATTGTTTTTCTGTTTCCTATTTGAATTATTTTCATTTTAATTTTTTTATTATTCCCATTTCTTATTAGTTGAGTTTACTTTGCTCTTCTTTTTTCTGTTTCTGGAGGTATTAACTAAAGTCATTGATGATGTTTCTTCAATTCTAATTAGATAATTATTTTTTTTAATTAGTTTATGTATTTGAAAGGCAGAGTTTACAGAGAGTCAGAAGCAGAGAGAGCGAGAGGTCTTCCACCCACTTATTCACTCCCCAAATGCCCGCAATAGTTGGAGCTGTGCTGATCTGAAGCCAGAAGCCAGGAGCTCCTTCTGGATCTCCCACATGGGTACAGGGGCCCAAGCACATGGGCCATCTTCCACTGCTTTCCCAGGCCATAGCAAAGAGCTATATCAGAAACTAAGCATACCTTTAAATAAATAAATAAATCTTTAAATAAATAAATAAATATAACCTAAGTACTGCCCTAGTGACAGTCCACAAATTCTGATGTTTTTATTTTCAATTGAAAATAATTTCTAATGTCTCTTTTCATTTCTTCTTTGAGTCATAGGTTACTTAGAGGAGTTTTATTTATTTCCAAATATATGGGAGTTTTCCAGATACCTGTCTGGCTTCTCATTTAATTCTATTGTTGTCAGAATACGACCTGAAACTTATTTTGTGATCCAGAATATGATGTATCTCAGTAAATGTTTTTGAGAATAATGTTAGTCAAGTATTTATTTTATCAGTTTCTGAAAGATAAAACTGTTATTTGGGGCATAATGGTTTCAGACTGTTGTGTCTTGTTGATTGGTTTATCTCTTTATCATTATGAAAGAGCCATCTTTATCCTTGATATTATTCTTTGCTGGAATCTATTATGTCTGAAGTTTATGTTATCATTCCACTTTTCTTTTGACTAGTGCTAACATAATGTATCTTTTCCTATACTTTCACTTTTAATGGGTTTGTCTTTATATATCTATATACAAATATATAGAGACAGGTATATGAAACGTGTGTACGTGTGTGTTTTATATTGGCATTATAGAGTTGTCATGCTTCATGATGCAGACAATGTGTCACTTAAAGCTATTTAGACCATTTACATTTAATGTGATTTCTTTAAAGATTTATTTTAGATATTTGAAAGGCACAGTTACAAAAAGAGGGAGAGTTAGAGAGGGAAAGATAAGAGATCTTCTATCCACCGGTTCACTCCCCCAAAATGGCTGCAACAGCTGTAGCTGGGCCAATCCGAAGTTAGGAGCCATTAGCTTCTTTTGGGTCTCCCACATAGGTGCAGGGGCCCAAACCCTTGGGCCACCTCCCATTGCTTTCCCTGCCACATTAGCAGAGAGCTAGATTGGAAATAGAGTTAGCAGGGACTCCAACCAGTACCCATGTGGGATGCTGGCTCTGTAGACAGAGGTTTAACCTGGTATGCCACAGTGCCAGCTCCTAATGATTATTTATATGCCTAGGATAAATGTGTACTTTTACCATTTGCTGTTCAGAAATTTTTTTTGACTAATTTAATTTCATTATGGTGTGAAAATATACTTTTTAATACCCATTTTTTTCTTTTTTCCTCTTTTGTTCTCTCTTTTTCTTATCTTGTTTTGGATTATTTCTAGTTTTTCATGTTTACTTACTAATTGTAGCCATTGTGTTTTACTGTTGTAGTCATTACTTTAGGAGTCACATTACTTATTTTTAACCTATCACAGTCTCCCTTCAATTGGTATTTTACTACTCCATATGTGTCATAAAAGAACCTTACATTTATACCTCCATTTCTTCCTTAGTAGGCATTATGGGACTGTATTGTATTTTTCACTTTTGCATATGTTACAGACTCCATGGTGTATTATTTTGCTTTAATATTAAAATAATAACTGTAAATTCTTATATACTCGTATTTGTCCACGCAATTACCATTTCCAGTGCTCTTCTTTCTTTTTTGTAGATCCATATTTTAATGAGGTATCATTTATCTCCTGTCAAATAACATCCTTTAACACTTTTTTAATGCAGGTCTGCTGCATTATTTCAGCTCTTGTATGACTGAAAATCCTTCTATACTGCAGATCTTTGTTTTTATCTTTTAGTACATTGAAAAAGATGCTGTTCCCACTGTTATCTTTCTGCATATTTTCTGATGACAAATCTGTTACACTGCTTATCTTTGTTTTTTGTATCTAATGAATTTTTCTTCTGGTTGCTTTTCATATTTTCTCTTTATCAGTAATATGGAATAATTCAATGCTGAATCATGATGATGTAGTTTTCTTTATTTTTCTTTGAAGTTGATTGAAATTCTTAAGTCTCTATATCTATAATTTGCATCAAATTGCAATTTCCCAACCATTATTTCTTCAAATATTTTATGCCCTTCTTCCCCCAGTGTTCATCACACCACTTGCAGTTGCGTCACAACTCAGTGATGCTATGTCATCTTTAAAATTCTTTTCTCTCTCTTTCATCTTTAATAGTTTTTGTTGATGGCTTTAAGCTTGTTAATATTTTCTTCTTCAATGTGTATTCTTCTGTTAATAAAACCCAGTATAGTTTTCATCTCAAACATCGTAGTTTTTATCTCTAGAAATTTGATTCATTATCCTTAACATTTTCATCATAAAGAATACAGTTGGCAATAACTTTCAATGGCCTTGCCTGCTAATTCTAAGAACCTAGTCAGTTCTAGGTCAGTTTCCAGGCACTGTTTAGTCTCCTCATTATTGATCCTGTTTTCCCGCTTTTTTCAAAGCTAGAATCATTAATTGAATGCCAGACGTTGTGAATTTCATCTTTTTTCTTGAGTGCTGTGTATTTTTTATTTGCGTAAATCATCTTGAGCTTTGCTCTGGAAATCTTAATTACTTTGAAGCTAATTGACCATTTTATGTCTTGCTTTTATCATATGTTACGTTGGCCCAGAGTAGCACTCATTGTTGAGCTAATTGTTCTCTACTGCTTAGACAAGATTTTCCTTCACTACCCTATACCCTGTGAATTCTGATTTGAATGGGGGGAAGAAGCACCATCATACCTGGTACTGTGTGAGTGCTAGATGCTGTTCACTATAATTCTTTTATATTATTCTTTCCCCAACTTTGGATAGTCTCTTCACATGCCACCACTATTCAGTCCTGTGCTGAAAATTCAAGGAGGCTCCTTTGCAGTCAGATCTCTGGAGTGTTCTCCCTCTTTCCTTCTCTTTCTTCCCCCTACCCCTTCTTCTTCCTGTGCAGTGTCCTCCTTTGGTACCCTGTTGTATAAACTTCAGCTGCTTTCATCTCTGTACACTTTGAGTTTCATTTCCTTAATTCAGGAAGTCTTCAATGTCCACTTGAATCCCCCCTGTCTGCATCACAACCTGGAAACTCCATGTAGAAAACTGAGGCAATAATAGGAGTTACTTAATTGCTTTTCTGTATCTCATGGATCACTCTTTCATAGTCTTGTGTTCATTTGAAGAACATTGGTTCATGTTTTTTTTTTTTTTTTTTTGGGGGGGGGTTGGGGAATAGGGAGGGAGTTGACTACAAAAGGAGGATAAATCCAGTTCCTACTACTAAATCAAATCCTATCAAACAAAGTACATCAGACTTTTTAAATAGATATGTCTAGTTCTGTTTAATTGATTCAGTTAGAGGTCCTTATTGACTAGCATCATGGAAGCTACTTTTCACTACTAAACCTTACTAAACCTAAGATGAAAAATCAAAGCACAAGATTTTGCAGAACATATTCCAGAATAAGTTGATTAATGTAATAATTTGCTAAAATTCTTAATGGTCCCTCTCATCACCATTTTCTCACTTTGCCTCTCCTGTCTGCACCCCTTTCTCCAGCTTTACCTTATTTCTTCCATTCTTCTTCTAGATCCTAACTGAAACATGACTTTTCCAAAGCGCCATCCCTAATACTGTCTTCATTTCTCTATATCTGCCATACCATTAAATTATACTTTATAGAATTTGTCTTATCTTCTCTGATAGGCTCTCAATTTCTGGTCCACTGCAGTAGCCTCACCGTTATAGAATGGTGTGAAGTCTAGAAGGTTCTCTGGTATTTTTGTTGACTGTGTAAATGCAAAAGAATATCCATGAATTTTAGATATATTGTACCTTACCAGCTTTTACTTATGTATTAATGATAACATGGAACAAAACAGATTTCTAAGGGATATGCTTAATATTGTGGTTTTTCTAAACTGTACTTGAAATAAACATCAATAGTTAAAGCTAAGAAGTGCATTAATTATTATACCTTTGATATAGCACATAAACTCACACATGTTTATAACTAATAGGTATGTGGATTTTTTTCAGGATGCAGAAGAATACACAGATTTGCCAGTAAGACACAATGAAGATCATATGAATAGTGAACTGGCAAAATGTCTTCCCATTGAGTTAAATCCTCATTCATTTGACAGCCCACACACCAAAGCACATCTGCTGCTTCAAGCACATCTCAGCCGAGCCATGCTGCCCTGCCCAGATTATGACACTGATACCAAAACAGTGTTGGACCAAGCTCTCAGAGTATGTCAGGTATGAAAATCATTTCTTATACCTGCATTGTCTCCTATAATTTCTATCGTTTTCTATCCTACTTTATGATAATGTGTTCTAGAATTTTAAAAATTATTGTGTCATTGTAGAGAAATACCTAGTGAACCAAATAAAAATTTCCAAAGGAAAAGCGAATGTAAATGAAATAAGATGACCATTTTAGTCATTCATTCAAGGAAAACAGTATGTGTCAAGTACTTTTCAAGGCACTGAACAAGACAGAAAATTCTCTGCTGTTATGGACTTTGAGCCAAGCTAGGGAAGGCTGACAAGTATACATTTTAAAATAAGTGCTATTTTTAAAAAGTATTCAAGCATGGTAAATGAAATGTAGAGCAAGATAGAGGGTTCTGTGTTGTGCTATTTTTATGTAGTTTTTAGGGATTATCTCACTGATAAGATAATAGTTAAAAAAGGATTAAAGGAAGAGAATGATGCCATGGGTTTGTGGATGGGTATATCCTGAGCATAAACACAGTCAAGTGCAAAGGCTGTGTTGTAAGGAGTTACTTGTAATATTTAAGGAAGATGTAGAAACCATTCTATAAAAGATGGAAGGATATGGTTGGAAGTGAGGCCAGATGTAGATAAAATTGGGTCAGTAAACTGTGGTAAGGATTTTGGATTTTACTAAGAACACTGGCTCATTAATGGCTATATCAGTTATATCTATCAATATTTTCCATATTAATCAAAACATTAATTTTTTAAAATTTAATCACTTTTTTATAATATCAGTAGTAGGCTTGTTACATGTTCACATAAATATAATTTTTCATGAAAAATATTTTCCAAAACAAAAAAATTGAAAAAAATGGCATTGTTTTACATTTTAAGAACTCTAATATCCAGCTTAATAGGGGTATATAAGTGCTTCATAATTTTCATGGAAAATTAATGAAACTATAAGTTTATCTTGTTGAAAAAATTGTGAAATCCATGCATACAAGAATTCTTCAAAAAGTTCATAGAGAAAGCAAGGATTTAACCTAGTGGTTAGGATGCTGGTTAATACAGAGAACCTGATACCCAGCTCTGGCTCGTAACTCCAGCTTCTCGCTAATGCAAGACCCTAGAATGGCTCAAGTAATTATATTCCTGCCACCCTTATGGGAAACCTGGAACTCATTCCTCGTTCCTGTTTTCAGCCCTAGCTGTTACAAACATTTGAGGAATAATACAATGGAAGAGAATTCTCTGTCTTTCAATCTGTATCTCTCTCTGCCTTTCAAATAACTAAATAGTTTTAATTCATAGCAAATATGTATTATGAAAAAACTTGACATGTGCTTAAAAATTTTGTACCAAAATAAACATATCTTTTAATTTTATTTTTCCATGAACTTTTTGAAGTTTCCCCAAATATTTCATTTTACAATCAACACAAAGTGTCTATTATATTTTTAATTGAAGAGAATAGTGTTTTGATTGCCATTTTATATTTGTGAGTATTCTTTGATGCCATAAAACATGACAAGTGTATTTCTTGAAGCTTAGTTACAATGTGGAATCTGAAACTTTATCACTAATGTGTTTATACCTCAAATGCTGTAGAGCTAAACAATAATGATAGTAGCTGGCCCAGGTTAGTGTGGATCAAGTTAATGAGTATTGGTTGAATCCTAAATATATTTTTTTTAAGGAATACTAACAGGATCTGATAATGGATTGGCCAAGGGTTTTCAGAGAAAACAAAGAACTAAAGAAAATTCCAACACTTTTTTCCAGAGAAGCTGGGAGGATAGAGCTGCCATTTACAGGGAAATGAGTTTTGATGGCAGAAGTACACGTGTACTATAGGGCTGAGCTATGAGGGGTCTTGATTTTCTACATTATACCTTTTTTAGCCATTTCTATAATGAAAAGTAACTCTAAGAATTTTCAGAAGACTTAAAATGTTTTTAGTGGTAGAGTAAGTCTATCCATAAAGATAAGTGTACCAAGGGCATGCATTATGACATTACTTGAAATGTAAAGCCTTGGAAATAACCTAAGTATCCTATTATTGAGCACTGTAAAATATTAGAATTTCATCTATGAATTCCACATTTATATCCATATAGGTAGTTTATATCCATAAGATAACATACATGAAAGTTCATGGGAAATGGATTATATGTTTATTTTAGTGTAAAATGTTTTGAAATCCTTACTTTTTTTTCATAATACACATTTTCCATGGACTTTTTGAAGACTCTTCATATGTACAATTTCAAAAATATTTTGCAGCAAAATAAAATTCCGTTTTAACTCCATTTTCCACATACTTTGTGAAGTATCCTTATCGCTAGAGAAAATATGCAGAATAACTCTACCAGAAGATTAATAGTATCCTCTGTGGGCAGCTGGATTTCCTGTGATTTTTAGCTGCTTCTTCGTGCATTTCTAAATGATTTGAATGTTTTCAAGTGAACCTGTAGTATTTTTATTTTAAAAATTCACAATTTTTTTTACTTTAAAAACTCAAAATGTTTTATAAAATACAGTAGGCATCAGCTACCCAAAATTAGAAAGGAGAGGAAGTAAGGCTATAATAAACACATAAATTTTTTTGACACCCTTTTGTAACTAACACATGGTTTACCTCTCTAGAAAGATGATTTACCACTCCTTATTAGTCACACTTTACAAACAAAGGTTAAAGTTCCTAAATCCTTAGCTATGGCTCTGGATACTCAATTTGTGTTTCCTGTAGCTTTTTTTTTTTCCCTTCAAGCACTGACTTGTTAATGTTAATGAACCCTGACATAAGAAAGAGTTGGATAGAAGTTGCAGGAGAAATTAGTTTTTGCATATTACTTACATATGATTAACTCATAGCTACTTTCATTTTCAGCACTCAGTCAATAATGACTCAAAAGCATAATAATAAAGCAAGCCCCAAAGGAGTGGGTGTCTAAATTTACCATCAGGTACTTTTAGCTCCTATTAGATATTTTATATACAGCTTTATGGGATGATATTTATATTTCTTGAATATTTCTGATCTCTCTAAATAGCATCTAAAGAGAAATAGTTCATTCTTTAATTATCAAACTAGTAGAATTTGTTGTTGATAGTTTGGAAAAACATATTAAAATTAAATGGTTAGTGTATCTTCAATCCCAAGAATGAGGTGCTTTTGTTTTTTCAATGAGTTTAATTTTTGTCAAATTTGCATTTCAAAATAATTAGACAAGTATAAAACATTTGTAAAATACTATAATGAAATTGTTGTATACCGTTCACTTAGCTTCTTCTAATGTTAATGTCTTACCTCAGGACTGATCCAGTCCTATTGATTATCTGCATATCTCATTCAAATTTTATCAATATGAATTTTATCCTATTATGTCCTTTTCATGTTCCAGAATCCCACATTACATTTAGTGATCCTGCCTCCTTAGTTTCCTTGTCTTTCTTGGCACTTTTGAAAAGTATGGACCAGTTATTTTGTAGAGTTGCCCCACAGTTTGGAGTTGGGTGATGTTTCCATATGATTACATTCAAGTTCCCTGTTTTTGGCCAGAGTACAACAGTGATGATAGTTTGTCCTCATAGTATGTCATACCAGGAAGCTTATGTCATGGATCTGCCCATTACTGATAATGTTAAGTATGCATTTGAGGTTGTATCTTTCTGCTTTTCCTGTGATAGTCATAGTCACTTTTATTTCTTTTGTAATTAGTAAGTGTTTTGTGGGAGGTGTGTTGAGGCTATGTTAATATGTTGTGTCTTGTCATACTCTCCTATATTGTCAACATGCAATAATGCTGTTTTTCTGAAACAGTGATTACTGTTGTGACTTTCTATTTCCAACATTCCTGGAATTATACTATAAAGAAGAATTTTCCCTTCTCCCCCTTTTTTTTTTTTTTTGCTTTATTAGATTATTTAGTTATGGAAGTACTGACTTACGGATGTTTGTATCATGCTATTGAGTAAAACACACTGCTGTCATTTTCTCTTTTGTCCCAGAGTCAACCATGCAGAGCCTGTCAGGCTTGTGGCTGAATCTTTTTGACATGCCCTCAGTGTTGCTTACATTCTAGCAGCTTGTACTTTCTTGGCACCATGTCTAAAATCAGCAGTTTTTCCAAAAAGCCTTAATTCCTTTTTGTTAGGCAATGATATTCAGCACTGAAATCTGAGGGCTTACTACACGCCATCTCTACTTGGGTGTCTTTGCTTCCAGACCATGCATACATACATGGACATCCATGTCTGTTTGTAGATCTGTTTGACTCTGTGTGTATGGAAAAGACTATGTTTATAATTCTGGTATCTCAAATTTCAGTCCAATATCAAAGGATTCATTTTAGTCTCCCCCCTCCTTTTTTTAACTTAACCCTTTTTACCTGTAATATACCTGGTTGTCATTAATAAAAATATAGTTTCCTTTATCCTCGATCTTAGAATATTCATGATGTTGTTTCACTACTACTAACCCTTACTCCTAAAAAAAAGCAAATGTCTAACTAGAGCAATAGTTTATATTCAGTTCTCTTTTTGTCTTTGGAGGCTTTTTATTTGTACACTTTTATACGTATACATTTGCTCTTTTTCTTCTTTTACAACTTTTTAATTTTAATATTTTATCACATCAAATGAAACAGAACTTTGTAATGGCTACACCATATTCCTTCTTACAAGACATAATTGTTTAATGAGTCCCCCATTGCTAGGCATTTGTGTGTGCAATTTTCTTCTATTATAAGTTGTAAGCATTAATTTTAACCATTTGAAAGGTTCGACTTAACTTTTCAGAACCACCTAGAAAGAAACTTGATTTCAAAGAGATGACAACAGGGGGATGGCGCTATGGTGTAGAGGAATAAGCCTCCATCTGCTGTACTGGTATCCCTATAAGCACTGGTTTGAGTCCTGGCTGTTCAACTTCCAAACTTGCTTCATGCTAATGCTCCTGAGAAATCAGCAGAAAGATGGCTGAAGTGCTTGGGTTCCTGCAACCTCGTGGGAGACCCAGAAGAAGCTCCTCA